TCGAAATTCTGCATTGCTCTTCCCAACATTTCTTCCCCCACAGTAGCGATTTCCTGGCAAATGGAATCTTTCAGTTCCTGGATGTTGCGTGGTTTGTTTCTGTAGACCTTTGATTTGAGGTAACCCCACAAAATAGTCACATACGGACAGGTCAGGGGAGCGAGGCGGCCGAGGGATATCACCGAAACGGGAGATGACGTGTTGGGGAAACATGCCACCTGCATCGATGCTCTCGCCGTGTGCCGTGGCACCATCCTATTGGAACCACATTTTCCGCATATTTACCCTTCGTCTGCGCAGTTCTGGAAGCAGGAAATTGTTGAGCATTTCGACATAGCACGCCTCGGGCTTCTGAGAACTGCCAATCTCACTCTCCCAACGTTTTCAGGGGTACGCACAGACGCGGGAAGGCCGGATGGTTTCCTCTTCATCACAGACCCTGTTGTCCTAAACGTATCAACCCACCTGAGTATCGTCTTACGATCAGGGATGTTTCCACGGCGCTCCACATTGAACTGTTTACGGAAAAGGCGCTGAACGGCAATTACGGATTCACCACTTTTGATATAATTTACAACTACAAACACCCGATGCTCCCGGGTCCACGGTGCCATGGCTACTGAAACAGCATCATCTAAGCTGTCTACTAGCATGGGGCAGAAATCCCCCACCCTCCTCCTTGCCGAGTACTAGTCATTCTAAAAACATGCGTTTCCTCTGCCGCACCCTACAATTGGCCTTAAGGAAATCGAATTTGGAGTTTTTGATTGTATTCATCTGGCTCGGTGGCGGGCTCTTGCGAAAACGGTAGTGAAGGTTGGTGTTCCTTGAACTTCAGGGAATTTCTTAACTTGATGAACGAGCTACTAGCTCCTCTGATGCATGGAGTTCAGTTATGAACATTAGGCCGGTACTGTAATTCTGTTAAATATAAACAAACCAAACTGAATTTATTCAGGCTAAATTTATGCTGTTCCGGACAGGACGTTCTGTCATAAAGGTAGTTTACCTAAAGAAAATGACTACATGATATGCAAGAGTCAGCATCAGAGAAGCGTATTTTTAAGTAGTGTTTCAAATGTTCGTAAAAGTGTAGTTGAGAGGAATCTATGAACGACAACCATAGCGACCAAAGAATGTCATAAAATTTTAAGGCCACGTAAATGTTTGCGATCTGAAATCGTGAAAAGAGTTGAATGGGGTAACTAAGCTATCAGGTCCACTGATCATTACAGTTATATCCACACGCACCGGAAAGCGGAGAGGTAGAAATCCAGGCATCTAGCCTTCTTGGGCTTTTGGGGAAAAACTGAAAGGAGACGCAAATATACCAAATATCAATACCAAAAAGAGAATGTATTAAAAATAATTCTTCTGAGAGGCTATAATTACTTTTTTCTTTCCTCGGGTAGAGAATAGCTTTCACATTGGAACCAAGTGCCAAAGAAACTCCTCCTAGAATTTTTTTTAAAAACAATAGCCAATTATCGTTGTCTGTAACAATACATATTTAGAAACTACAAATTATCAAAATATGCTAATATTCAAATATAAATTATAACATGTGCACAAACGTAAATTTAAATTTGCTCCTGTAACAGCTTGTATGACTCAGCTGAATTTGGGGGTGGTAGTACTGTGGGACAAACCGACTTTATTTTGCTTCAAGTATTGCTTTAAACATCTCTTCTCGCAATTTACTTCCTCGTTAGATTAGCAATTTGGACTTTCCTCTGAATATATCAACTGGTTTCATACCTACTGAGCCGAGAGTCAATTTCCAATCACATTTCTAGAATGCTTTTATTTTCGTATTTTATGGGGTCTGGCGTTTGAAGATCCCCTTCAAAGCCCCTATTTTTCCATATGTTTTAATCGACAATATTCATAATTCCAACTGCCTCAAGGTTTGGTTACTTTAAGAAACCTTAGTATGAAAAATGTTTATGACTTCTGGAGTGAGATATTGACTCCGTGCATAATTTCTGTTTGTATACCTCAACACAAGAAAAATTACGATTATAAGTGTGTGGAATCTGATGTTCTCACGGCGGTAGGTATGAAGATGGCTGTCATCTAAGTTGTAGCGCCGCTTACCTACATTTCAGAGGTACTTGCTGCCTGAGGATGGAGGCAGCACGGATCACTGAAAAGTTGATAAGCTTCTACCAGATCATACGTCTCTACAATCCAGACAACAGCAATCTACAAATACAACCTTTGCTCGATAAAAGAAAACATTTAATTGCAAATAACCTTACAACGGTTACGGAGATCTCGGAGATTCTGTAGGTGGTCTCTGTTTCCTACATTTTGTGGCGAGTTTTCAAACGTTAGTTAGTTAATTCCTTTTAGTCCACTTGAGAACATGGGGCTGATGAGTTTTCAAAATACTGGGTTTAATTTCCCACATTCAGCCTTAGTTTTCTACTACTGATAGTCTTTTGACTTTCCACAAACATCCTGGTGCAGTATAAATTTCAGTAAGCATCCCTCGCTGGGACGCCACTTTCTTGATAAACTCCTCTAAACTTGAAATAAATAAAAATATAAAGATGTGTGCATTGGCAGAATTTTCAGTAACATGTGTTAACATATATCGCGACATATTATTTAGACTGGATCTTGTATTATTTCATTCCAGTCATTTTAACTCCCTGTTTCTCTTCAACTTTTTTAAAAATAAAAATTAGCTGTTGTTTCACCCAGAATTCCGTTCGTCTCGGAATTCCTGCAAAGTTAATCAGAAACGACTATTTATTTAATGCACATAACAAATAAAAGACATGGGACAGCTCAGTCGGTATAGTAACTAATGCAGGGCTGGGCAAACAGGGTTCGATTGCAAACAAGAGTAAAGATAAAGGACCATTTTACATTCCGCTTTACCTGTCATCACTACAGGGTCAATGCCTCACCTTGTTGCGGTCAATAGGCCACATAAGGGCTGTATTTCGCTCGCTGGCGGTCTGCAAATTTTTATTTATTTCATGTTACGAGAAGTCCATCAACATGGCGTTATGTTGTGATGGTTAGGTGGGGTTGAGTTTGGTCACTCTGACTTTGGTTAAGTTGCGTTAGGTTTGGGGCCCCGGTTCGGTGTGCCGGAGTGTCCCGGGCTTGGAACATTTAGCACATGAACGGGAGCAACATAACTCACTTGGGGAGGGGGGGGAGAACCAACGGGATAGGGCAGAGTCCCCGTCCGAAGCGGAGTCCCTGGATGGCGCTATGTCCTCTGAAGGGGCTAAGTGACACGTACAGGGTTAGTTTATTATGTTCGTTGGAATAATGCAAGTCCATTTTGAGCAACACTGAGGTCCGACAACTCTCACTGTTGCGCAACAATGGGCTCCAAGAATGGGTTTACGGTGAAAATCCAGTTTTAGGTAGCAATGGAATCAAACAAATCGTGCTGATGGAACCGATTATTCTGCAAAAATGGGACTTCGGATTACAACAAAGAAAAATTATCTAAGGTCATTCTTGGAAGAAACTGTTGGGCAACAATAATTTGGGCAGACATCAGGCAAGAATTATAAAAGACGTAAGAATTACCTTAGTGCAAGAATAACATAGGACACAAACATGTACCAGGAACAAAGAACGATGTGTGATGTAGCGAAACCAAACCCTTTGGAACGTTGGCGTACTCCAAAGAGTACGCCTCTCTAGTCTTATCATTTGTGTGGCCATCGTAAGAGCATCACGTACGCAAAGAAAGTTAAAGGTGTATCGGACAAGAGGGGAGAACGGGATGGTACGACTTAATTCCTAACACTCCTCGGATTTCTAATAGGTTGAGGCGCGCAGCGCGTTGTATGGAAGCACAAAACCAACACTTCGAACACTTTTTGTAAGTTTCTGTTGTCACAACTTTAAACCGCAAGCCTGAATTCAACAATTTGTAAATAAACTTGTAAGTACGCAAACTGTTGTGGTTTGTTACCCAAGTGTAAATCCTACCGTCATACACAAGGTCATGCAAGTCATTATGGATGTAATTATTATATTACTCAAATTAATGTATAAATTACTGCGACAGGTTTCGGCCATAAGTGGCCATCTTCAGTTCAGCCACTGCAACCATCAGCTACATAATGTATTTTGTGTGAATCATAATTGCTATAAAATCATGTAACTAATACAGTAAATCAATAATAATAAATAATGTAATTCAATAATATAAATTACAGCCCACAATATACACGGTGATTTAGTGTTGCGTTTAATAGTTTTAACCACATGTTGTATGACCACAAAGAAGTAAGAAATGCAAAATAAACATTAGACCGGAAAAGTGTCGATTTTCATATACAACCACTTCAAGTTCAAACGCGGCACGTGCTGAGAGATTCACGGTCGGAAATTTCTTGGCCAGTGTGGTAGCCTGCTTGTCTGCGTTGGTTCTGCTCTGATCAGCTGTGGTTTGTTATGAGTTCGGATGCCGGTCGGCTCCTCAACTACGAGGAAGGAAGGACATACGTATGATCTCAGACGCCGGTACCTCAGATCCGATATGTGAGATTCCATTAAAAAAACCTGTAGAAAAAACTACGTCAAATGGGGAACGTACGGATATGATGGATCTTATCAGCTGAGGCAGTACGGTTGTATGCTGAAAGGTTCCCCAACCGCCGGACAGCCAGCCGTCATTTTTAATACCAGCAGTTAATTAGTACATTTATATTTATTTTACTTTCTTATCAAATAAATAAACAAATTACGTTTTCTTCATTTTTCATTTTGTGTAATACCTGTGTTCTTGAAACGTTCCAGGTCTCTACTACTAAACTTTAAACTAATACACGACTCAAAAATGGCGTTATAACGCTGTAAAAGTAATTAATTGTAGTAGGAAATAGTAGCTCTGCTTCAAGAGTAATACGAGGGTTACTTCAAAAGTCATGGCAACTAATTTTGGGGGGCAAACACGTTATATTGAAGAAAGTTCAAAATATACATATGAAAGGGCACGATATACTCCTCCGATTAAAATTCAATTGTGTTTAAAAAAAATTAAAAATTCAATGTGAGTTAAATCAGAATTCTTACTTTAAGACTAGCAACTTTCAAAGTAGTCTCCGAGTGTATCAAGTACTCGATGCCAACGAATACCATCAGCTTCACCATCTCCAAATCTTGCCATCTCGCGCCGAACTGCGTTGGTAATGTCCTCTGGTGTACGAAAGCGTTCCCCTCGCAATGGCTGCTTCAATTTGGGTATTAAGTCATAGTCACATGGCGAAAGGATGGAGGATGGTGGAGTACTTCCCATCTCCAACGTCGTAAAAGGATTAAACAATGGAAAAAAGGTCATTCCGTAATGTGCCTTTCTTATTGCCGACTGAAGAGTAAATCGTGACCTTTCATATGTATATTTTGAACTTTCATCAAGATAACGTGCTTGCCCCCAAAAAATTAGTTGGCCATGACTTTTGAAGTAACCCTCGTATTATGTATGAGGACTGTTAAGATGGGATGACTTTCTCCGCGTTATTTGCAACTCATATCAATTTCAAACGGCTCTATTATCTTACATCATACAAGGACACTTATTAAGTGACGCTGATATCGCCCCACCTCACAAGTCCGTCCGTTCGCCATGTTGCTGCTACCTGTTGTAGGAAATTAAAATGTACTATAGTGGGGCAAGCCTCAATGGAATAACGCCCATACAAACTTTCGTCCGTCCGTCCGTCCAGAGGTTCTAGAGTTCAATTGTGAGGACAAAGGGACATGGCGGGACCTACTGCGTTCATTTCGAGCACATCGTTCAAAGAAGGTGTAACTTAACCGAATTAGCATGAACAGTCACAGAGGAGTGTGAGAAATATTCATTACTGAAGCGTGCATATTTTGATAAAGACGCACAATGTAATTCTTTAGAATACTTGTATAATGTGCTTAGAATCTGTAGCAAACATACGGGTGACGCACCAATTCAATTATCCTTATCTCAATGGCTATCAGGTAAGTAGGAAGGCAAAACTTCGAACATTTCGTGGATGCTACCCGCTCATTGATCATACCTCTGGAAATAACAACATCGTTCTTAATCTAGCAACTTCAAACAGTTCAGTCTGACTGTTCCAGCGTCCTATAAAACCCTTAAAACCTGCACATTATAATAGGAACACCGAAAATTAACAAGCAAACTATCAGGCATGGCAGTGGTAAGGTTCCTCAGATAAACAAAGCCATGCTTAACACGGAGCGGTAATTTATTACCATATGTAGTAAGTTGCCGGCGGTCTGTACAAATACTTAAATTATAGTACTTGAGTATGAATGGTGACTCATGAAGTGTATGTAAGGAATCTGAGTAGGCCGGCCTACAATTTTGTTATTCAGAACACCGTTTAACAGGAAATCTGGTTTCGAGACAGAAATTGAACTGCGTCTCACCAAAACGCCAGCGACTTTCATCAACACTGTCAGAAGCTACAAAAATCGACCAGGTCTCGAAATTGCCTGTAACAGAAATCATATGTTCCTAACAGACAGATTTTGTGAATTGCCTACAAAGCTTCAAAGATATGGCATTTCATTATGTAATTTCAACGGGCATCCTTGCCACGCGGAACGTAATATGTCACCCGCATGATAGGCAGATAATTGCAAAAAGCGATTAAGCCAACTGAATTGTGCGCCAATACTGAAATTTCTTGTTCCGACAATCTGCTAATAATGGAAAGTATGGAACATGCCAGTGTCCGATTCGTATAATTGAACCCACATTCAACGCAACAAAAAACAGTCTGTAGTTTAAAAACTTGCCACAGATTAGCACGTGGCAGAACACTTAGAGACTCAACAATGTTCTAAATATGACAGAACAAAACTTCGAGTCAGCATGAAAATTTTAGATCACGTGGTTCTCTAAGAACCACGGAGAAGGATACAAAGAGTGCAGAATTATAAGGCTGCTGACAGCTTTCTATTGAACCCTATGAAAGAGAAGCCACTGGTAAGTTACGAAACTGCCTAGCAAAGAAGCGTTTGTTTATCACTCACAGTGCTACAGACCAAATATCAACGCAGGCTACAACACGCTTTGTAGTCCCACTGCACCCACAACCTTCTCAGTCTTGGCATACTCGTCTTTTCCCTGTTATTCAATACTGTCAGCAAAACAGAGAACCAATAATCTACAAGAACATTACTGTAATATGAATGCTGTACTCACGGACATGAACACGTGTCTATCCGGCAATGAAACATTGTAAACAACTCACACCCTAAAATGAAAGTATCAATTGACACACCGCACGCACGCACGCAGTCCGCTACTGAGAAACTACCGGCAACTACTGCAGTGACAAACACACAGCGTTACACAACCCACCCCCGGCAGGACCTGAGTTCGGAGCGTCGACCCAGTGCGAGAGAGAGAGAGGGAGCGAGAGAGACACGTCGTCTGGTGGGCCAGAGCGCGCCCCGGTTACACGCATCCATCGATCGGCTTGCTGCTGGATCCATCCCACTACTCGGCCCAACTCGGCTGATTTCGGATTAATTTCTCTCACTACCCCCTCCCTGTTTACACACTACTATTTTTTTTATTATTTCCCTCACATCACCGCATCTCCGTCATCCATGTGTCATTTTCATATCCCAAAAATATTTACATGTTCACTGATCTGCCTTAAGCAAATGTTTACTGAAACAAGCAGGGCAGCCTCAAGGAAAGAAGAATTCTAGATGACATGTTTGGGCTTGTCCATTCAAATGCAGTCTGCCAACTGTTGTCCTTATTATTATTCCTTTTTTCACATATTTCTCCTGGTGCTTTACCTCTATAACCAAAGCTGAGCCCCGCCTTCAAGCTTCAAATTGCTGACTGCAACAATTTCTTTCAATGTGTGATGTTAACATCAGAGCTGTTTTAGTATATAATCTGTTGAACACTTTCCTGATATTGTTCCCAAAATATTTTGGTCTTTCAGTTCCAATTTCTGTGCCTCCAATGATTCATCATCGTCATTGGCTCTACAGCCGTGTGTGGGCCTTCTTCAATTCCTCCTCATTCACGGACAATCTGTTTGCCAGTCCGCCGCGAATGAGTCCATCTGGCAGTTGCTTCATCTGATTTCGTAGCAAGTTGCTTTTTACAGGGTAGGGTTGTCGGCGCCCCAACCTGGAGGACCAGACCTCCGTATTTACAGCCCCGGGAGGTTGGGTGGCCCAGCTATGCCCCCAGGCACTGGGTAGCTCGGGTACCTCGGGTGGTGGCAGTCCCCATACCCACTGATGTGGGTCCCTGAGAGGGCCTCCAATGACTATCCTTTGAAAATGTGGCAAAGTTCAGGTAACTGGGAGTATCAATACAGAGGCACTGGGTAGCTCGGGTACCTCGGGTGGTGGCAGTCCCCATACCCACTGATGTGGGTCCCTGAGAGGGCCTCCAATGACTATCCTTTGAAAATGTGGCAAAGTTCAGGTAACTGGGAGTATCAATACAGAATCAAAATTTGATTCATGAGGAAATTAAGAGGAGATTAAATTCTGGTAATGCTTGCTACCACTGAGATCAGTGCCTTTTGTCTTTCTGTCTGCTGTCTAAAAACGTAAAAAATAAAATATACAAACCTACAATTGTGCCTATAGTTTTTTATGAGTGTGAAACTTGATCTCTGACACTAAGGGAGGAACGTAGACTGAGAGTGTTTGAGAACAGGGTGGTGAGGAGAACACGTGCATCTAAGAGCGACGAAATACCAGGAGGCTGGAGAAAGTGGCAGAATTAGGAGCTTCATATGTTGCACTCCTCGCCAAATATAATTACATAGATCAAGTCAAGGAGGATGAGATGGGCAGAGCATGTAGCTCGCATGGGAGAGAAGTGAAATGCAAACAGGGTTTTGGTGGGCAAACCAGAATGAAAAAGGTCACTAGGAAGTCCGAGACGTAGGTGGAGGATAATATTAAAATGGATCTTAGAGAAACAGGATGGGGTGGTATAGATTGGATTCATCTGGCTCAAGATAGGGGCCAGTGGCTGGTCTTGTGAACACGGTAATGAACTTTCGTGATCCATAAAAAGTCGGGAATTTCTTGAGTGGCTGAACGACTATTGGCTTCTCAGGGCTCCATGTAGGTGGCTCCAATGATTACCGGTATGACAAAACATTTCATGTTACACGTTCGCTGAATTTCTGGATTTAAATTTTTGTATTTTCTTTTCAGACTCCTTCTGCATTGCATTCTTATCCAATGGTATTGCTATCTCTATCAGCAAGCATATTTCATCTTTCTTGTTTTTAATTATCGTGTCTGGCCTATTTGTCAGAACCTCCTGTCTGTTTATAGCCCTTGATCCTACAGCACTGTTATACCTTCGTCTTCACATACCGACTTAGGTATGTGCTAGTACCTTCTTCTTCTTCTTCTTCTTGCCCCAACGCCTAAAGTTTTCCATATAGAGTTATGTAGATGAGTGCAGACTTTATCATGTATCATGTAGTATATTATTATTATTACATTTAATGTAATTATTATCATATCCAATATAGATTGATTCGACTGATGAGCATGTCTTG